ATGGAACGAGTCTACTGCAGATTGTCTTCTGGAGAATCTCAGACCATGGCGCTGGATCGGAACGTTGAAAGCACTGTGTAACTTGTGTGCCTGCGCAATTTGAAATGAGAGGCGATTATGGAAGATAATAATAATGAGGAGGATAGTTTGCTTCTTACAATCAAAATTCTTAGATGGTGAGAATCTCGGAGTGGCGTTAGCACTGTCAGATTAGCTACCAGCTTCAAACTTCCCAAAAACCTCTATTAACTACTGATTATCTTGAACAAAGAACTAAATGTTGCCTTGGTACATTCAGCCGAGAAACAGATGGGAAGTGCTTAACATGCAAATGACAGGGACACCGTAGTTTTCTGATATGCTCATTACAAAATATACGAGAGATGACACTGTAGTGACTGAGACGAATGCCTGTTATGCAGAAATTACACTGAAGACTCATAAAATCAAGTGAGATGACGGTCCAATGGCGCATCATCATATTCCATTGTAAAACAGTTTCGTCATGAGGAAAAAATTCATGACAATGCCAAGATGTTTAACCAATCATCTGCGGGACAAGTTATATTTTGAGTGTTCCGCTAACTGACAAGTACGGTTAACTAGTGTTCAGGAATCGATAGGTTTCGCAGTATACGCAGAATGATCTGTTGCTCAGGTTTGTCATAAATGTTTCCTATTTGGGGCTTGGTGCAATGTTTAGATGCGTCACGTTTGCAGCGACTCTTTGTTGGTTTCGTCGATGCCTGTTGCCAAGAGATCGATCGACCACGATGACACTGCAATGAATTGTCAATATACCATTTTTCCTGACATCTCACGATATCCATTAGAACATGCTGTGTTTATTAATTACTATGCAAATTACTGTGTTCAGAAATATCTTGATGCTCAGTTTAGAAAACCTTATAGTCGTCACTGTGCGATAGGAACGCCATAACCAGTTATTCGTTTTGCTGTGACCTTGATACATGGTTTATGACGCTGATGGCGACGAGGCGTTGTCAGTGAAGTAAACGGCGGTCGATGCCAATGATTCATACGTTAATCGCTCTGAACGTTTCGAGGTACCAGATTAGGCATTCTAATTTAGCGGGGGTCTGGTTTCTTGGAAAAAACCTCCAACGCCTACAAAAAATATCTATATGTCAAAGAAATATTATCGAGAGGGACGACAGGAGTGTCGGTACTTAGAACGGAGGTAAAAATTCCACATGTTCTCGTTTTCTGCAGTCACGTATGATAAACGACCTAGGTGTAAAGTAATGAGTATACAGATGAACAAGTATGTTCCAGCATTGCTCACTAGTCGCAGGTAAGTCGTCGTTGCCTTTCAGCTAAAACCATGCGTCGCTGAGTTTGTCCGTCAAGGCAGCACAGGCACTTTGCCAACAAATTCTAGCTTATGTTGTCAGTGGCATATGACAGAAAAGTTTATCGAAAGCAGGCTTTATTGGTTCGGCCACGTGAAAAGAAGACCCATCGAGAACGTTGGAAATGTGGCCCAAGTAGTGACACTTTCGGGAAGGAAAAGAAAGCGAAGACCGAAGAAAAGATGGCAAGATGTCGTCAAGAACGATATGAAACTGCGAGGGGTCTCTGAAGATCTTACAAAAGACAGAAAAATGTAGAGAAGGTTGACTCGATTAGCAGACCCCTGTTAAAGGGAACATGTTAGAAAAAAGATGAAGCGGAAAAAGTGGTGAGTGACACGCAGCCACGGTGCGCTTCGCTGTAATGGTCCTCGAGGATTCTTTACCCCATGTGTACGGTGTTATGGCAAGATGCACGGTGCACGTTAAGAGTTACGACGTTATGACATCGCATCCAGAACCGTATGTCAGGACGGTGTCGTTTAAGAGCTCAATGGGTGCCTAACTTTGTCCAGATCCAGAGCACTCCTGAAGACTTCAAACTCAAGGCTGAGAGAAATTCGACCTCAGATGTTTCGTAACATATATGTGTTTTCAAGTCTACGCCTTCCGACAATGTTGTATGGCTGTGAGTTGCGGTCGTTCACTAGAGCCGAAGACTGACAGCTATGTGTCACCGAGAGAACCATGCAGAGAGTATTGTTGACAATTTCAAACCACAAGTACATGCGAAAATGGTAATCAGGGAATGGGAGTGAAGGGTGTTGTCGGTGGAAGGGGGGAAGAGGCCACAGTAAGCCGAGAACATAGCTCGGCTTACCAACGGATGATGATCAGTGTTGACCG